TATATATATATATATATATTTATATATATATATATATATTATTGTTAACTATATTATATTACTAATAGAAACTGGGAAACTAAGAAACTGTCAACATATCAACTTAATTATATTCACTGGGGAAAAAATTATTTCATTTAATTTTATATTATATTAGATAAAAAAATAAATATTTTAACCAAATTACATAATTTTAAAGTTTAAAGTTTTTGCATTTTAAACAATTAGATAATTAGATTACATTAATAGAATATTAATATTAAATTATGAATATATCAATAAAAATACAGTAATTACATTACTCCATTTAAGTATATTAATTATGTTATATTATTATATTAATTACATTATTAATACTATATTAATAATAACTTACATAATTTTAAGTAATCCTGAGCCCCCCTTGGATGTTTGCTAAGGCCCCCTAGTGACAATTACAATAAACTATACAATAAACTATAATAAAAATGATTTCATAAAAAATAATTTGTTTCTTTTTTACAGACCCCCTCAATCATCGCCACACAGAAGAGTTTAGAGCACCTTTACATCAGGCACATATAAAAGACTTATGCTGGTGAAAAAGTGAGATAAGATGCCATCGATTAAATGGAAGGAGGATGCGACTCAGTCTTTCATCCAGCATTTTATTGGACCAAGCTGCACTGCTCCAGGCAAAAGTGAGATAAGATGCCATCGATTAAATGGAAGGAGGATGCGACTCAGTCTTTCATCCAGCATTTTATTGGACCAAGCTGCACTGCTCCAGGCCTCTGGATTGGGATATGGAGCTGATTAGACAATCAAAAAATCCCCTCATCTGACAAGTGGGGATTTTTTCTGTCAGTGAGGGGGTGGAGGGTATTTGTTTTCCTCAGGGCCTCTGAAACACAGAGAGAAATTGAACTGAAGGGCCGAGGGTATTTCCATATGGGGCATGAGAACACCCACCTGCCCACCATATTGACACACTGACATGCAAGAATATATGACACACTTTCAGGCCTACATACATACATGTGTCTTCCTTTTTTAAGAAGAAGTACAAACAGACATACCCAAATTAGGCTTCAGAAGTTGG